GGCGTGTTGTTACTCTAGTGGAGGATTTTTCTCCCTCCTCTCGCCGGACACTTTGCGGCGCTTAGACAGAAGAGTCGATAAATCTCCTCCTGTGCTTCAGCTTCACCCCACAATTTTGCGTCTGTCTTGCTATCTATTTCAAGAGCAACAGAAGCGGGTACTCGGCACCATAAGATTGTTCTCCTGTGGCTTTCAGCAACGCTAGAGTAGGACGGAAGCTCAAAAATATCCTGCCGTTGCCTTGAGCTTCAGTGCACGTACGAATCGTCATTCCAGGTAAAGCAGCGAACCGAGAAATGATCACATCCCGCATGAGTTCCTGCAACGCCGAGAAGGGGATCATGTCCTCTGCCACGGGTGCTCCCGAACGAAACTTAACTTCCCAGGCTGCACGCAGCTCGTCAATCGCACGCGCCTCAGGTGCTGGTCCTCCAGCCGTCACTCCACGTAGCATTTCACACACTTCGCTGTAGCTGACGCGTGGCATCTCTCGCGGTGAGGGCATCGGGAACACCAGCATGTAGTAGAAGGACTCGGCGGCTTGCTGCTCGCCTCGCGGCGATGCCCACGGGCTGCCAACAATACCCAGTGCCACCGAGTCGTACGACATTGCAGGTCGGCCGTCCAATTGATCTGCAGCCCCACGGAAATAAGATCGCGACTTGGACGTCGTTTCGGGGGCGGATTTTTTTTATTATATTTTTTTGGCAAATTTGCAGAGCGTTGTTAAAGGTACCGAGCAGCTCGTACTTAAGCGAGAGTTAGGGGCACATGGTCCGAGTGCCTCCAGACCGAGTGATGTCCTACAGGTACCGATTACAATTCAGAGCGGTAATATTCGGTATTTTATTGGCAGTTGATTTCAAAAATTACATCGTTTGTAGACATTAGATCGTGTGGCTCTCGTGGATCCAGCCATGCACGTTGCATGAATGTGACTTGTTGTACTGATGTGTTGCTTGAAGGTACACAAGACTTGATTTACTTGTAGGCGGACTGGTGGTGACGGACGTGCATCTGCTGGGTAAGAGGAGGCGCTCATGGCTCGAGCATCTCTGGGTGGACTGGCAGGTGCATATAGCCGCCCGAGCGGCTGTGGACGAGCACAAACCCGATGTGGCGCTGGTACTCGGCGACCAATTCGATGAAAGGAATCGTTGGACGTCAGATGCGGATTACGGCGAATACGCTGGGTGGTTCTTTCGGGTCTTTTCCAGCTTTTTGCCCTTGAAGACGCTGTACTTGGTGCGACTAGTTTGGAGCTACAGAGGTTGCAATTGCTGACAGGATTTTTGACAGGTCGGCAATCCATGATACCTTGCTTCGGACGGGAACATGAGGATTGAGGACTGAAGCGCTACGAAGTCACGTTCGAGGAGGCATACCGGATTGACGAAATCGGAGGCCACACATTTGTGAGGCTGAATACGATGGCGCTGGACGCGGATGTGGCTAGTCGAGCAGTCAAGACGGAGGCTAAGAGGTAGCAATTGCAGTTTTTCAAGTGTTCAAGCTGGAGATCTGAGCGAACGATTTTCTTTTCTTCTCCTTCTGCTTGTGCAGCTTCCTGGAGAGCGTCAACTTTGAGGACCTTCGAGCGCGAACGACTGGCAGTGTAGTGTTGCTCACACACCTGCCGCTCTTCCGTGTTGACGACCTCCAGTGTGGAGAAGAACGGCTGCGCGAAGCGGGCCACGTCACCTATGAGCACCCGGGTTTCAAGTACGAAACGCACCACCACGTTCTCTCTCGCGAGCTGTCGACGGAGTTGCTGGCCAAAGTGCGGCCGGATCTGGTCTTTTCAGGCCACACACACGTCTGGTGCGCGTATAAGCTTCCTTGAAGGCAAAGAAACATTTTGCATTTACCGGTAATCGAGCAAGTTGTGAGCTGATCGCTTTTCGTCCATGTCCAACGCTGCAATCACCTGCAAGTCCATCCAGTGGATGACCTAGAGCTCATGTATGATCAGCTAACCATCGCACATTGGGATCATCACCTGTCGTTAGATTAGAAAACTCTCAGTGACAGCAATGCACCTCACCGAAAACTAGGTTAGGAGCGAGACAGTGAAGCATTAATGTGCATGAATTCATTTGGCAAGACTAAATGTAGCTACATCAGACATTTCAGCATGTAACGGAGCCTTAAAAATCGTATGAATGCTAAGGTTGGTTTGGTTGGCAGTGGAATTCCTCTGAGGTAGCACTCGAAAAACATAAGGACAGCTACACCGCAACTTGATCCATCTGGCTGTCGTGAACGTGTTTCTCGCTTGATTGTCAGAAGGGTACATAGTTCTCCAAAAATACTCTTCAGTTGGGCTTCACAGGTGTCGTAGTACTTTGCCTTCGACGCTTGAAGCGGGTCAAAGAGCGTGATTCTCCGGGTCTCTCTCCGAAAATCGATCACAGCACCGCACCAGTGGTTGTTGTCGATATGCAACGGTATCAGCACTATCTTGTTTGTTTTCGCGAGCGGGTTGCCGGCTTTGACAGTCGTAAGCTGCTGCTCTCGGAGCTGGAAACGCAGGAAGAGAGGGTTGACGACGCCAACATCAGGATGCTCAGGGTGTAGCAGCGCTATCCCGTGCCCCATACAATTGTCGTCAAGCCATGAACTTCCACAAAATGTCAGTAGGGCTCGATACGGTACACTGCCAAACGATGTCACGCGTCCGCCTCGAAGCATAAGCTGCTTGATTGCATTTTCACGCTCTTTTGGTTCGGTAGCAACTCCATCCGACAGTTCATCTGGAATTGTGATGCGCTTAACGCTGGTGTTTACGGCCCAATTCATAGCATCCTCTGTCTGCGCTAGAAGCTTCATGCACGTGTGCCACCGATCCATTGCCTTGATATCTTTAAGCATAAAGATTCCAAAACGTGACACACGCACGCCGACGCTGTCGTCTTCACAGTCATCCTTCCTGAACCCCCTGATTGCCATTTGAGCCTTTTCCACAAATTCGCGAGAGAAGACAAACCGAATATCAGTAGTGCACTTGTCTTCCGTGTAGATACCAGCGATCGCCTTTTTTGACTTTGGAACTTCCCGGATTGTGAGCGTGGGTAGTATCCGTTTCGCAGCTTCGTAGGTATAGTCGCTGTCTAGAAACTTCACGATGTTCCGTACACTCGGAACCGGCACCAATGTCCCCTGCACGAGTCGTGACGCAGCTTCCTTACCGCGGGCGACACGCTGTCGCTTCTCGGCTTTCCCTTGATTCTTTCTCACCTTTGGGTGCCCTCTGCTTTTGGCGCTCTTCGATACGATGAAGGATCCAGATGAGTCAGACGAACTACTGGGATGATCCCGCTTGACTGAACTCGGTTTCTCACTGTGCGGATCTCCATGAATGACACCCACCCGATCTCCACTTGTATTTCCTGTAACTGAAGGTACAGTAGATGTAGACAATACATCTTGCTTGGTGACTGGAGATACAATACCAGCACCCGATACTTGCTCAGTGACTGGAGGTACAGTAGAAGTATCCAACATTTCAGGCTCGGTGACTGGAGGTACTGCAGAGGTACCCAACACTTTCTGCTCTGTAACTGGATGTGTTTGGGTTTCCTTAGGTATCGCTGCACGCTGCGTCGGAGCTTGCTCGTCATCACTGTGGTCACACTTTAAAGCCGTCAGAGAGTAGGAGACCCTTGTGGTATCATCGCGTGCAGAATCATTGTTATCGAACGAAAAAGGCAGTGAAGCCACCTGAGACAGCGGTTCAACGCGATCGTCTACGCGTCCGACAAACGGAGCTACTCCATCCTTGATCACCTCCTCGAATTTCTCCAATGCTACCATCATCTCTCCAAAAACGTGAGTTCCATTTCTGCTCATGATATCGGCAATACTCATTCCGCGTTGGAGCGCATGCTTGTATTTTGTGGTTCCGTTCAGCACCTGATGATTCCTTGCTGCCATTGCAGAATCGCAGATTTGAAAAGCCTTGCACGCAAAGTTAGTGTCTGGGATATCTTCTTCAGCGGCTGGTTGATTTAGTTTGCACACCAACTGCCACCGAGACGCGATATTGCGAATAGGAATAGCAGTCTTGTCGTTCATTAGACGCCAATACATGACGTGGCGGCATGGTAAAAGCTTAGTTCGCATAAACACACACGAGCACTGATATCGCTAAAGGCACCTCAATAAACACATAAAATTAGATAGGGATTACAGATAAAGTTCCACTGGTTCACGTACCGAAGTATCCACGTGATATACACTTGTACGGTTGTCTCCAGTAAGAAGAAACAAACTTGGTTGCAGTTCCTTTATCTCGTAATGGGTCTTTCTATCCTTGGACATCCAGTACTGCTGCTCAATTAGCCGGTACACATAGGGACTTACATCACGGGCAAGAATTTTCAATTCTTCATCTGCACCTTCGTAGCGCATCTGACCAACATCAGTTATCTTCTTGGCGTACTCCATCTCGGCAACGGCTTGTAAGAACATCAAGGTATCGACGCATTCATCCAACGCCATGTCTGCCCTTAAAATATCCTTGATATGACCCCACGATGATTCCAGTCTGTGGTAAAACGGCCCAAGTTCAGTACTAATTTAGAAGCAGCATTCCGAAAGCCATTGTACCTGTTGTTTGTGTGATTTCCCAGATGGGGTACATCAGAACGCGCATATAGCACCCATCGTTCCTTCATAGAGTCCCAATTTCGCATGAAATATTCCAAGAAAGGGTGCTTAGGCTCTGGAATAGTGTCGCTGTCTCGAAGCTGAACTCTATCGAGCAGGAAGTACATGTACTTCAGATATTTGATGTACTTCTCTGGAGAAGCAGCAAGTCTCATCATGTCGACAGCATCCTCCACTTGGTCTTTGTCAAAGCTCGAGGGTCCTCCATACTCACGCTTCACCATTTCAGCACGAATATACTTCTTCAGATGGAAATGGCAGAGAATAATTTTCACACCCGGAAATTCGTCCTTTAGCAATCCAAGCTCGCCCATATCCTTGTCGATGACTATAACCTTGACCTTCTCCCACGAAGAGTTGTGAATTTTAAAGAATCGAATTGCATCTGTCAGACATTCCGCGCTCTCATTCTCCATAAGACTGTGATGAACATACTGGCCCTAATAATGCAGAACGTTGAACAAATAAGTTAGTTACACATAAAGTAACTCCAGTACCTCAAAGAGTAACTCCAGTACTCAAGCAAGACACTTGTGTAACCGGAGGTACTTCGAAGCTGCATCGTGTACAAGAGTCACTGAGCGAGTAGCGAAAGGTACCTATACTCACATGGCCATATACATCGTTCACCATGAAAGAGAACAGCTTGTAGCGTGACTCATTCGTATTGTGCGTAGCATCGACTAGCATAACTTCAGGGAAAGCTTTAAACCAGCGCCGCATCTGCCTTGTTTGAAGTGTGGTTGTCTGTGTGATCTTTGCATCGTCAATGAACACGGACGCACGATTTCCTCGACTCTCACACACACCTCGCAAAACGGTTTCCAACCGCTCCTCAACGGTAGCACCCCCCTTTCGCTTCTCTTTCATCTTCGCCACCATGTTGTGGACATCCCGTAGCATGACGTTTTTGCCTACATCGATCATCAGAGAAATATAAGAAAACATGTGAAAGCAGTAGCAGAGCTTGTCGGCGCACCTGTCTTCTTTCGAAGGTACGGAATGATCAACTTCGGTTTCGACCCGGCAGCCTGGAGTTCGTCGACGAATGCAAGAAGAGCAGGGTTATCCACGCGTCGATTTGAGGCATGATTCTCGTAAATCGCCTTCGACACCTTGTGGTTATGCTCAACGCTACAGGCAGTGATCCGCACCATAAATTTTTGAACGTCTTCGGCCCCATTCCATGAAACGGCGGCTTTAATGTTTGCCTTGCATCCCGTACTCTTTTCGAAGTAACTCTTCCGGATTCCTTTCCCTCGACTCTTCCGGTTCCAGCCATGAGTGCACACTAACTTAATCCAGAAGTTGCCAAAATCCTCCGGAATTAAGCGTTCAGCTCCGTCGTCAACGTCACCATCGTCACCTCCTTGTTGCCCAAGTAGAACCTCACCAGCGCGACTCGCCGCTCGCTCCTTAATCTCGCGGTTACGCTTCGCTACCGACGTTGATGTGCGTTGGCGGAAGATCTGGTGTATTTGTGCTTATTACTGCGCAATGTACGCATTGAAATTTTCCCAATTGTCGTGCCATTCGACATCGACCGGGGGTGGCGTCCAAGTGGACGACGGAACATGCAACTCGGGTTCACTATCACTCATAACTGCATGGAGAACATAAACAAAAGAACAAGTTAGTCGGTAATCCATATACATGCCTTCTGGGCTGCACTGACCTTCGGGGTGCACTGACTTGCGCTGGAAGAGGGCGATTTTCGAATGATAGGCTGAGAAATGCCAGGATGGGTGAAAGGGGAGAGAGGGGGTGTCATTTTTTATAAATATGGGATCCTAAAATTTGGAGTCAGCGGTATTTTACCTGGATAAATTACGTGCGCATACAGTTTGGTTTCGTTTAGATACGATTTTGCTCGGTACCTCTAACCAGTCTCTTTCAAGAATGCACTGTCCTGTGGACGCGGTACCAATAAGTGCATACGTGTCCCTTTTCTGTATTTTTGGATCGGGCCTTAAACAGGAGCGCGGCTAGGGATGCACTGTCATCGCGGCCGCAAACCCTGAAAGTGCGAACGCCTACCGCAAACCCTGAAAGTGCGAACGCCTACCGCTACCGTCGCACTTTTTTACCAATCAAAACTCACAGTTACTTTTCGTAAAAGTCATTCAACAGCGTTTAAAACACCAGAAGTGCGAGCGCCTAACGCTACAGTCACGGTACCACTAAGTAGGAACACCTACTGCTACAGTCTCACGTTTTTGACCAATCAAAAGCGCGGCTGGACGATTTTAACTTAGGTATACTACACTACATGTATACTTCAGCTGTAGCAATTTACAGCTCGTATAGGTAGGTATCCATTGAACTTGGTGTATGTGAGTGGACGACAGCAATTATCCCCGTTCAAATGTATCCCATCGCCACTCGACCAAATGAGCAGCACGTATATCCGGTCGGGGTCGCTGTTGGGCTGCCGCTGCGCTCCGTTACGCGCCGTCAAGAGCCTTAAAGGCAAGTCAAATGCCAGCGCGCGCTGGGTACGTCGACAGTGGAGCGATCCCGTGGTAAAACAGGCCAAACGCGAAGGTCTCCGCTCCCGCGCAGCCTTCAAACTACGGGAACTCAACGACGTACGTCTGCAATAACTCCCAACTCAGTAACCCCCGAACTCAACACCTCTTGGTTCACAGCGCTTCCAGCTGCTACGTCGCGGCGATATGGTTCTGGACTTGGGTGCAGCTCCTGGCGGGTGGACGCAAGTAGCTGTGGAGGCCACGACCCCCAAGAGCCAAAAAACAGTTGGCCCCCCGCGTGTTGTGGCCGTGGACCTCCTGCACTTTGACCCCATCGAGGGTGCGTCTATCGTAGTGGGGGATTTCCGCCAAGCTGCAGTCCGAAAACAACTGGCTGAGGCGCTCAGAGGTCGCAAAGCCGACGTGGTTCTCAGCGACATGGCTCCATCTTTCTCTGGTAACTTCCTAACGGATAGTCAACACCAACTACGGCTATGCCACAACGCTCTCAAGATGGCGGAGCTTTATCTACGTCCAGGAGGCAACTTTGCCACAAAAGTATTGCGTTGTGACGGCTCCGAGGAGTTCCGAGCGGACTTAAAGGCAAGTTTTGACGTGGTGAAAGGTATGAAGCCACAGTCGTCGCGACCAGAATCCACCGAGATGTTCCTTGTTGCCAAGGGGTTTAAAGGCGTGCAACAAGTGAATTAATAAATAACCCTTTTTTTCACATCTCGTCTATTCAAATTATCAGGGGAAAAAAAGCTGTACGAGCGAAGAAAGACGGGAGTGATAGGAGCAGTAAAGCTCACGTCGTGTGTGCAGACGGTGGAGAATCTGGTCTCTTCGATCGAGGCCGCTTCTCATTTTTGAAACATGCACAGTTTTGTCGAGTGGAGAAAGGAGAAAAACGAACTTTCCGCCCGACACACGACCGACTGAGACGGTTAGTTGAGGTCCTGGCCCAGTCGCAGCGCCAACAGCGTGTCGTTGTACTGGTTGAAGGCGTCCTGGATGTCGTCCTGGAGCTGCATGGCCAGTGGGATCAGCTCGATGTTAACATTGCCGCCGATCTGGGCCGAGGCCGCCACACGCGGCTGCAACACCTTAACGGCGTGGATCATTTCTTGCAACTCCGTGTCCTGACGGACATCTCCAGCAGCGTAGATGATCTTCTGCAGCAACTGGTGCACCAGCTGCTCCACTTCTTGCAGATCGGCGTCGTTCAGTGGCTCCGCGTCGGCAGCATTGGCCAACGCCTCGCGTTCCTCTTCTTCCCAACGCTTACGAGCCTCAGCGTACGCCTCACGCTCGCAAATGTCTTGGGTACGGAGCGTGAGGTTCAGGAAGCGATCCAAGTGGATGTTCAGCAGAGCGTCGGGCATCTGCGTCAGCACTTGCGTCATGTAGCGGTTCATCTCCTTCTCACGCTTGATGATAAACTTCTCCTCCTGGTTCTTGCCGATCATCGACGAGAACGGATGGCGCTTGGGGAAACGCGGGAACCACGGTGCACGCTTGCCACGACGACCGGAAGCGGCAGCCTTGAGCTCCTGGTGGAGAGCGTTGAAGTCGTTGTAACGACCGCCCACAAGCCACGCCGTCTTGGACTGCTCTAGAATGTCACGACCCCATGTCACACGCAGCACATACTCAGTGTACTCATCGCCCCAGTTCTGGTCCTGTTGCTTACGGTGACCCAGCATCGTGCACGTGAGAATACCGCCCTTGTACGGGATCGGAGGACCCGTGGGGAACTCCTGAATCTTCTCAACGGGGTTGATCAAGTTCTCATCATCCGCCGACATCACGGGACCAGCAGGAGCCTCACCACCCTCTCCAAACAAGTCACGACCAGCCTGAGCAAGCTGCTCTTGACGCAGAGCATCACCCGCGACGGCCTCGCCTTCGATCTTGGCGTTGTCGCCAGCCACCCAGCTCATGTCGGCGTTCTGCAGCGACTCCTGTCCCACCATAGCACCGGCCACACCCATCGACCCAACAGCGCCAATTTGGCCGGCCTGGCCAGCAGAGGCCTGTAGCGGCTGCACGGAGCCTAGCGTGGCAGGTCCGTTGCCAGCCACACCGTGGACACCGAGCACTCCAAGAGCAGGAGCTGTTCCCAGAGTGCCTGCCATCGCAGCCTTCTTTTGGGCCTCGTCGTAAGCGCTCAGCTTTCGCAGAGCAGCAGCCTCTGCGTCGTGAGCCAGGGACGCGTCCTGCGCGGCAGCAGCGGCATCCTGAGCAGCCATGGCGGCAGCGAGAGAAGCAGCCTGAGCACGCTCCACAGCAGCTTGGCGCTTGGCCTCCTCGCGGCCCACAGACCGACGGTAGGCCTGCTGAATAGAAGTAGCAGCAGCAGCACGCTTGAGCTCCAACTGACGCTGACGTTCGCGTTCCTCCTCTTCCTCCTGAAGGCGACGCAGACGCTCCTCCTCCTCACGTTGCAGACGCAGCTGTTCCTGCTCAGCAGCAAGTCGTCGAGCTTCCTCCACAGCGAGACGAGCCTTGCGGATGTGCTGCAGACGCTGCACGAAGTGGCGCTGAGCCTGAACAGCGTAGAACGCAGTCAGCCATCGCTTCTTGGCCGACTGTTTCTTCTCGGCCTCGGCACGAGCCGCTTCCTCCGTCAGCCTCTTGCGCATCTTCTCGTCCTGCACCTGTGCGCGACGCTTGTCTGCCTGCTTGCGGCCGAACTTGCCACGCACAATGGACTGGATTTTCACCGCCGCAGCGTTCTGCTCAGCATTCTTAGCAGCCATACGCTCGCGAGTATCGTCCAGCAGCTTCTTGAAGGCGTTGGAAGCGAGAACGCCTCCAATGGCCATCCTCCAGTGCTTCTGCGCCAGAGCTTTGCGACGCATCTTGTGACGGTGCGCGTTGCGAGCACGGATAAACTGCTTACGCACGGCAAACATGCGCATCACAGCCTGCATCTTAACGATAGCGGCCTTGCGTCTTCTCGTATCCTCCAGCAGCCACAAGAACGCACGCTGGGCGAGCACCTTGGCCAGCGCATAACGCCAGCGGCGACGCGCCAGCCACTTGCGCAGACGAGCGACGATCCACGGCCCCATCTTCTTCATGTCGACCTTCAGAAGTGCATCAAGTAGAGCGATCTTGCCCGTTTTGAAGAACACCTTGGTGCGGCCCAGACGGTAGGCGTCAGGCTCCACACGGAACGACCACAGCACCGCCTCCGTGAACGTCCGGTCGTTGTAGGCGTTGAACATCGGCGTGACGGACGGCGGCAGGACAGGCTTGTAGATACGACAGATTTCCTCGTACGCCACACGTGTAGGCAGACCCACCTTCAGCAACTCACACGTAGCTAGCATACCAGAGCAACGCAGCTGGTCCACGACGTAGCCGTGGTCAAAGACACCAGGAGACATCGTCGGGTTGGGCTTGATACAGCGGATAAAGTTGCAGCGTGTGGCATTCAGCGTGTCCGTGAGCTCCTGCATCTGGTCGCAGAACTTGGCCGACACACTCTGTTTGTGCAGCTGACTCATGTTGGTGTCCACGTCCAGCTTGGACGAGAACAACTCCTTGATAAGAGAAGACTTGCTGGACGTCACAAAGTCCTCGAGATCCTTGGGGATCGTATCGTTGTTCTTGTCGATGAAGTTGCCGATCGTGTACGGTACGCGCGTGGCAAAGTGCTTGACGATGAACTCGTATTTCTTGTCCTTCTCGTGAGGCGGCAGGAAGTGCGGATGGCTCGAGTGGGTCTTGTGCAACGTGGCGTTCCACTTCTCATCCGAAGGCTTGGGCATCTTGGCCTCCTGGTCCAGTAGCGGCAGAATACCATTCGGTTTCTGCGAGATCAAGTCGATACACTCGCGGTTATCAGGCCACACGATCTTGCCGACTTCGATTCCTTCCGCAGCGAACAACTCCTGCTCTGCGATGAACACCTGCTGGTTGAATGTGGCCTGTAGAGCTTCATTGGCGTAGTTGATCAGCAGCTGCTCAAAGTCGTTCTCTTCGAAAGATTCAAAGCCGAAGATATCCAGCACTCCGATGAACGGCAAAGAGCTGTCGCCGTGACCCAGCGAGCTGTTAATCTTGTACAAGATCCACTTGAACAGACGGTTGTAGATGGACTTGGCAATAGCGTCACGCACGTAGCTTCCCTCCTTGGCTGTGCGTTTAATCGTAAAGTTCTCGGTACGCGTCGAGATCTCGCGTGTGGTGATCACGTGCAGCAGGTTGTTGCTGTCCGCTCCCAGCAGCTCCGCACACGTCGCCACATACTTTTGGGCCTCAGGCGTCACCTCTCCAGCGTCACCCTCTGCAGTCTCACGGTCTTTCAACCGGATGTTACCCAGGTGCAACAGACCGGACAACACCGTCCAGACCTGTTTCTGCAGCGTCGTGTCGATGCCCACTGAGCCCAAAGCACTCGCCACTTCATCGAACAAGATCTCATCGTCCACGTTCGGGTCGGACACGCAGCCGCTCTGGTTCAGGTACTCAAAGTTGTTGACAGGCTCCAGTTTCAACTCCTTCGTCAACGTCTGGTCTGCTCCGGACAGCAAGAAGTAAAAGATGTGGAAGTTCCGTTCCCCCGGGATCTGAGCCACCACACGGAACTTCTCGAGCAGATACGTCTCAATAAAGGCGCCCGTGAGGGTGTTCTCGCCTGGCTTGAACTGCAGCTTCATAAACTTGCCGAAACGTGACGAGTTGTGGTTGCGCAGCGTCTTGGCGTTACCGAACGCTTCCAGAATGGGGTTCGTGTCCCACAGACGCTTGTCCAGCTCCAATGCGATGTCCTGCTGCGTGTCATTGCCCTTGCCCGCGGCAAAAGCCAAATGCTCACGGGACGTCAAGTAACGCAGCACGATCTTGGACGTCTCGGTCTTACCCGCTCCTGATTCGCCAGAAATGACGATAGATTGACATTGGGCGGGCGTTCGCAGTGCCATTTGCTGGAAAGCCACCTCTGCGATGGAATATGGGTGCGGGGGACGGTCCCCCATCTGCGTCTTAATGTAGTCCGTGACCTTGGGCTCCACTGTGCGCACCAGCGGGTTGACAGCGATGAGCACGTTAGCCATGAGCGTGTAAGGCCGCAGATTGTCCATCTTGGAGCGCACGTAGAGGTTCTCAAGGATGCCAGCCTCGTGGATGTAGTACAGACTTGTCATGTCGTCCACCACGCGCGGGTTCACCTTGTACAGGTCGCCAATGTCGCGCATATCGATCTTCTCCTGGCCGAATTTGCCGTTCACAGTCAGTGTCATGCCCTGCTCCGGGTCCTCTGCCGGCTCGTAGCGCACGGTCTCCACTACGCGCCACACACGCTCCGGGTCGGGGATCCAGATGTGCGCGCCGATCTCCACGGGCGTGTGCTGCAGCGCAGCCACCACCTCCTGCGTGTTGCGACGACGCGCCGTGCTCTGCGCGCGCTTCTTGTTCTCCAGTACGAGGCGCTGAGCGATACTCAGGTTGGATTCGTCCGCAGGCGCCGCGCTGTGCCGCTGGAAGCGGCCGTAGGACGGCAGCGCGCTGGACGGCACCATCTCGACGCGCGGCTTACCCGACATGTCGATTTCTAGGTGTCTACGACGCGGTCGGTTCCGTTTTGCACGTGGCTGTCCGACTCTCTTTCTCTCTGCTCAGTCCTTGCCGACTCGGGGATTCCCTTCTTCCGCCGCGTTGCAGTGACAACGAGACGAAAAGACTTTGATTGTGCCGATAATTGCAAAAGTGGACAGGATAGTGGAAGCGAGTGATTGGATGAAAGTACCAATTGACGACTTGCCGACAGGAGTGAAGGTCTTTCCATCTGGCAACCCCAGTTTCAGTTTTGGTGGCGTATCCACTTGCCGATGCAAGTCCTACGCCGCGTTTTGCGGGGTTTCCACGTATGCGACGCCGGGTGGCACGCGCAGGCCAAGTCATAACCAATGCGTGCACAGCCGTACTGTCAGTAGCTGAAGGGTAAGAAACCAGAAACTGGTGGGGATGTCTATGGGGGTGTAGTGCAATTCAGCAGAAGGCTAGGTGGGGTGAAGAACTGCAGAAAACGGTCGAGCAGGGAGAAGAAAATTAAACGATTATCGACGAAGCGTGGATGAGAAGCTTGCGTTATTATTCCCTGTGAGCCAGGGCGTGCCACCTCGTCATCCAAGCTGCATGTCCTTAGCCAAAGAGGACGGATGCCTGCTCAAGTGTAATCTCTCAAGCTAAACCTTCGCCGATCTGCCCTTGGTCGACTTCTCTTAGGTTGAGCTCTGGTAGACGCCGGCTTGTCCTTCGGCTGGGCCTTCGCTGCCTTCTTCTTTTTGTTTTTTGGCTGGGAGTCGACTTGCTCCATCTGGAGCTTCTCCACCTTCTCCTTCAGCCGCTCGTTCTCCGCTCCCAGCTCCTGAAGCTTCAACTCCAGGCGAGCCACTAGCTGTTCCGTCGGCTCTGGCCCCGGCTCTTCGTTGTCTTCGAGCAGAGCTGCCTTCTTCCTGGGTGGTTCAGTCGTCTCGATGGCCTCTTTGTGCTCGCTGACGCTGGCGCTGCGTTTGCCTCTTGGTGCTTTGGTCTCGGCACTGGCGCTGGCTGAGCGACTTTTTCGCGGTTTCCCAGCCATGGAGGGAGAAAGAAAGGAGGGCGTTGCTTGTGCTGGCGACGGAAGATTGACGAGTGGCAAGCGGAAAACAGAAGCGCGAAATGTAGCCATTTGAAAGTTGAAGTTGCCCCTTTGCGTAATGACAAATTATCAACACTGCGGCAAACAAGCATTAACTCGTCCAAAAAGCGGTATCTACGAAGATGCATAATGCTTTATTCTTCTTGGCAAAAGACACAAGTTTAAATGACGCGATCGTCTTCGAGATTTGCGCTGTGATGTTTTTAGATGCTGGTTTCCTGGGTTCGGGTTGGAGTCGCAATTATTATAAATTAAGCGAAATGCGAAAAGCTGTCAAGATCGTACTACTATACCAGTGAGCGAGATAAATCAAAACTCTTCTCTATGGATATGTCATCACGAGAGCTCTACCAGATTCCACCAACTACTCATGCCCGATGGCTGACTGCGCAGAGCTGTGTGGCTAATCATGGGCATATTACCTCTAGTCCTACAAATTCGAAGCGACACACAATTCGTCCGACCTACGAAGATGTCTGAGATCCTAGTCGTGCCTCGAGAACAGCAAAAAGAAACCGCAAATCTGACGGAGATTCGCCCTGTGGAAGCGTTGGAGTCTGGTGGAATTTCGAGCCAACGCACTACTATATTACGGACAATGGCACCGTTTGCCACGCCGTTGTGCCGCAGTACAACACACATGGGAACTACTTCGTCGTAAGTTCAAAAGTGGCACCGTATCGCACTGCCCCATCCAGCTGTGAAAATGAGAATTTTCCATTCGAAGTATACTTTTATCATGCCAGCGTCGGCTTTTACTCGTTCTCCCGAAGAAAAGACATGCACGTATTGTCCCAAGACCCACCCCTCCCCCATTGCAAGTGGATGTTCTTGGGTCGTATGATATTAACGG